TTTGCTAGTTAGGTATTTGCAAGTACTGCAGACTAATACTGAAATTCTGTTGCTAGGGACTGATGATTTTGAGTCCTGAAATAATTATTTACAAACAGGTGAACATCTGCAGCATGACTTTGGGCAGCACAGTGGCTAAATGGTTAGAACTTCCGCCTGGCAGTACTCGGGTCGTTGGTTCGAATCCCAGCCACGGCACCAACTGCCTGGAGTTTGCATGTTCTCCCTGTGCCTGCATGGGTTTCCTCCGGGTGCTCTAGCTTCTCCCACACGCTAAAGACATGCTGGTAGGTTAATTGGATCCTGTCCAAATTGGCCCTAGTATGTGTATGTATGAATGTAAGTTAGGGACCTTAGCTTGTACACCCCTTGAGGGTTAGGGACTGATGTGAATGTACAATATATATATATGTAAAGCACTGCATAAATTGATGGTGCTATATAAGTACCTGAAATAAATAAATAACGACCCACACCCCATTGCAAGGGTGACAACCTCCTTTAATGATGCCTATGGAATTTTAGATAATAGCTATGCAGGTACTATCTGAGCACTGAAGGATGCATGCTGGAATCACTCAATCATGCATGTCTATGTTTATAAAGTATAAAAGGGGAGTTTAGAAGGACACCCCTAATGTTGGCTTATCTTGTGCAAAGCAAAATCGACAAGGTAGGAAAATAAACCAGGGCAACAGATTCTTCCCTAGAAAACCATTGCCATAGAAGTACCTGAAAAATGAGAATCCTCATATTAACAAGAAGTGACTGTTTTTAGGTTTTTGTATTGTGTATAATTCATTGGGATATTGGCACTTGTTCAAATATACAAGTTGAACAAGTGCCAATGTCCCACATTTTTAGGCACTACAACCATAATAAAATTCCAAAATAGATCTAATTTGTACAACAATCATCAAAACATCTTATGTCATAAAAGAATGACTGACATAGTAATATATTCAATCACTCATTTTCCATTTTTTTACATATGATGGTTATATTTATATCGACATGTCCATCAATATTGTGATGATTACATTAGCGGGATTGAGCTTGATGCGGTTCACAATCTTCAGAGAATTTATATTTGTGTGGTGATTCAATTGCTTATCAGAACATGCTAGAGGCAATTGTAGCCGTATTAGTACACTTGCAACAAGAAAAACTGATTACTGTCCATGATATGTTTTTTTTTTATTTGCACTAACTTCCAATTTGTTTGGACAAACCTTTAGGGTATGTCCCCATTTTCAAGGCCAAGGCAGTTCCAATACTTAGTACTTAGTACTGCTTGGGCATTGAAGCAGGGCACATACCTCAAAGCTTGTCCTGAAAAATTGGATGTTGTAAATTAAAAAAATATCATGGACAGTACTCAATTGTTCTTGCAGCCAACAAAAACAATCCCCATCTCGAGACCTACAGAGAACACAGCAGCTACAGAAGGAGTAATGTGAACCACAAGGACCTGGAGGACTTCCATTGCCAAAGAAGACACTGCAAAATGATAAACATGGTAACCTTAAAATGAATCCAAAAGTCGGTTTTAAATGTAATAGTCAAGACTGAAGGCAGATACTGCAAGGTGTCTACTAGTACCTTTATTGACCAGCAAGGACTTTTCTGTGTGGTCGTCTGACTTAGTTACACTTAATGCAGAGGCCAGTCAAATCAGCCTCTCAGTAATAAAGTTGCCCAGCTGCTTGAACCCTGTCCAGAACAGCGTTGTAAATTGCCTTGCTTTCTGGTCAGGTCAGAGCAATGACTGACTTTAAGGTTCAATACTGATATTAGTGTTGTCCAACCAGTGCAGATTTCATATGTCATTTCATATGTAAGAAGATTACAGCAGAAACTAAGTATCAGATGTAACACAACGACTTTGTATGTACCTTTGTGAAGACTGTCATGACCATACAACCAGTTCCCGTTTGTAGTCATAGAGAGTTAAAGAGCTAGGTGTTGAAACCCATCAGAGACTCCCCAATGTGGCCAGTAAATGACCAATAAAACCCAAGTCCATCCAAAAATGAGTATGCAGCTTTAAAGAGACTTATCCTATTACAAGGCTTCTCCACCCATTTAAGGAGTTTTGCCATTTATACCATGACAACAGTTGTCATGAGTACTTAAATGTGTTTTCCCCAGATAACTTGCCTAATACATTACTCCTAATGCCTGTCCCCCCCCCCCCCCCTGCTTTGTGCTAAGCCGCACTCCTAGCATTAAAGCCCCTTCTCCAACACAGCCTCAAGCTACACCCCTGCACATTGAGAGTGCAATGTCACATCCTATCTCCAGTTTTAGTTGCTAAAAAGAGATTATAGCAACTTACAAGTTTAGTGGAGAACCTACAGTAAGAGTGATCATTTTTTGTTAATCACATAGTGTATAGTGATTGATGGGAGGAATACATGTGACTTGAAGGACTCATTGAACCCTCATGGAAACAAGCTTTGACTTGCTAGCAGGGTGAGCTTTAAAAAAAAAAAAAAAAATATATATATATATATTTTTTTTTTTTTTCTTTGGGGGGGGGCTGTCTTTATAATTTGGTAGGGGTTCTGTGCGTTTTTATAATGGGTAGTTGGAACTCACACACACTTTTTTCAGCTTAATAGTTCCTTGTGCAGAATGCAGTATACCATCAGTTCAAGAAGCTAGTTAGGGACCGGGCAATGAAAGGTTAGAGTGTTTTGTTCACATTGCCTTTAGTAAGGTACCGACTCAGTCGTCTCTCCTCATAATATATAACAACTTACTTGAGTTTTTCTCGGTAACCATTGTTGTCTTCTGTTTGGGTTTTATGGAATCTTCATGATTCACCTTGGGTCAGGGGTCCTCCTTATGGTCTGTCTGCAGTATAATTCTTCACTAATTTTACTCATTTTTTCATATAACTTCTACAAAGCATCTGCATTGCTTTAAAATACATAGACCATTCATATCAGTCAACAAAAAGGACAGTGCAATCTAATCTTCCAACCCTTGTCATATAGACCAGACATCTGGACATGTTTACCAGAAAGTCCATTTACCTACCATTTAAATTTTTGGACTGTGGGAGAAAAATGGAACATCTGGAGCCAGACATACTTAGAAAGATCACATGAACTTCATTTAAGCAGAGCATCTTAAGGCCTCATTCACATGGATGCCCATGAATGGGTCATTGGTTTATGTGGCTTAAGCTATCAGGTTCTGCGTGCAGGCAGCCCATTCAGGTCTATAGGGATGCAACAACCTGCATGGATACAGTTGCTTGTCCTAATTTGACAGGTGTGCGGGCACAGGTGAGTGGCCCCAAAGGAACACTGTCTATGTTCTGGGCCTCTCACCCACATCTGCACACCTGTCAATTTCGGACAAGCGACTTTGTGCATGCAGCTACTACATCCCTGTAGACCCAAATGAGCTGCCTGCACACAGCATATGATGGCTCAAGACACTTAAACACAGAGCCCATTCACATTGTTCGTTCAGCATGTCATATAGCAAAGTGCAATGTTTCAGAACCAGCAGGGGTCCCTTCATCAGGCATTATGACTTGTCATGTTGCCTAATAAAGGTGGACTGGCAACATATTTTCATTTGAACACTAAGGCCCATTCACCTGTTGCTTCAGCACCCTGTACCTGGGTGTGTAGTGGAGATATCTCTATGATTCCTGGTAGGAAATTGACCCAGAACCCCAATGTTGCAAGGCAACATTGCTACTGATAACTATTTAGCCATAGCGCTTTTGTTGAAATTGTTGTGCTCTTCAGGTGCTGCACCGCGCTAAAGTGGTAGCAATCCTTCCAATCATGACAAAGCCATCCTATATCTGTTCACAGCTCTTGTTCATGTCTGATCCTCAGCTTATTGAATGAACTACCATTATACTGAAGACAATTGTCCAAAATATCTCACTGCCAATTTCAAAGCAGCCAAGTGCCATTTACTTTCCAACAGCCGCAAACCTAGCCTGAGGGGACTTCTACCCCGAGGAACTAATGAGGATCTCTGTGTCAAATGCAAGCAGCTGCTGACAATTAATAACATATTGCTCACAATGTGGAGAGAGACTCGCAGAGGAACAAAAGGAGATTTCATACTCCCCCATGTCCAGCAGATCACAAGGAGGATCTGATATTTGACCTGACACTTTTTGTTTGCTGGTATGGTACAGTTGTGCCATTCATTAATCAAGTGACTATCTTTATCTTTATTCCCAGAAACAATACTTGCTATATACTTTACATAGTTTTGATAGGTATACATAATCTTAACAGTGACAACAATATGCTTTATAAATCAGACAACTAATTTGTCAGCAAAAGAATGGTGTATCCAACATTGGACCCTGTAATAGAATGTAAGCTCTCAGGAGCAATGCCCTCCTAACCCTCTTGTGTTTTATTGTATTTGAAGTTTATATTGTAAAGCAATATGCAAACTGTTGGCACTATATAAATCCTGAATAATAAAGATAATAATAAGAATAATGAATAATCCTCCTAGTTAAAAAAATATCAGTGCTCATTCCATTGCTCTAAAGCAACCTTTTTATGGTAATATGGCATTAACCATGACATCTATTGGCTTTCATACATTTCTCACCTAAAATATGAAAACTATGAGAATCTCATGTGACAGTTGTACACATTTGGAGGTGAAAACATTGATAAATAGTCCTCTGTATGCTTTGATGTGACTTGGGCAGCTTCCTTTTACGTTTCTATGGATACAGTCGTAATGATTTTACACATATCAGCTATTTATCATACATGCACATAGTGGTGACATTTTTTTATGTGTTTCCAGAGCAACATACTTTTGATATTATAAGCCCAAGAATTATGCAAACAAGCAATAATTTCAAATTCTTTACACATGGCAATTCCTTATATATTACACGTAAAGTGTTACTAAACCCAGGACCCTGCATTCATTATATCTGATCTCCCACAGTACACAGAACATGGAAATGCAATTATTTTAGTAAATATAAACTGCTACATACCTTTTCTCATCAGAAGTTAGAGCAGTCTTGTGACTTCTATCAGTGTTCAGGAAAGCACTGGTTAAAGCTTGTAGGAGGAGTTGTCTTTGTGCTCTAGGAGGATGCAAAACACCTGACCTCTGTTTGTACAGTTCTGATTGGCCCTGTGATGATCACATGCACTCTCCCAAGGAAAAAAAAAACACTCTAGCAATATACACTAAACTGAGCATGTACAGAATGGTTACGGTTCCGTCTGTCTTATCAGGAGATAAGACATGGACATTTGGACAAGAGAAGAAGCAGAGAGGTCAGGATCAAACAGATTTTTTTTACACAATGTTGGGGATTCACTCCTTAGGTTCCACAGTGAGTATAACAAGCATGCTTTACTGCAAATACAGACTGATTTTACTGTTGTGGATTTAGTAACACTAAAGGGTTAATTCTCATTGTGTAAAAAGGATGTTTGATCCTGCCTTCTCTCACCCTCCACTTCTTCTACTGTCCCAAATCCAACTGCAGATAGTACAGAGCCTTGGGGGCAAGCTGCACATGCTCAGTTTGGTGTATAGCTATAACGTTTTTTTTTTTCTTGAGAGGGTGCATGTGATTAGCACAGGGCCAATCAGCACTGTCCGGACAGAGGATCAGGGGTTCTGCAGCCTCATAGGGCAATCAGGGCAGAATGAAAACTCCTCCTACAAACTTTAGCCAGTGCTCTGCTGAACACTGATAGAAGTCACAAGACTACGCTAACCGCTGATAAGAAAATGTATTTAGCAGTTTATATTATTTTAAATAATTGCATTTCTATGTTCTGTGTTCTGTGGGAGACCAGATATAGTGAATGCAGGGTCCGGGGTTTAGTAACACATTAAAGCAAAACTAAAACCATTGATCTATTTCCCAAAACAGGATGACTTCACACCACAACACAAAACAACCAAGGCTATTCACCACTCCAGCCACTCTGTGTTGCCAGCTGCGCTAGCAGGCAGTGTGATATGCGATTCAGCTCGCCCCCTTTTTTTGTTTTGCGCAAACTTTATGTGAAGTTTAAAAGCGTACACTGCATTCACTGCAATGTTGGGCAGCGCAGCCCATCATGCTGTTGGCCATTGCTGCAAATTAAATGTACATTTTGTACACTTCACATAACATTTGTTCAAAACAAAAACAAGGGTGGGGGGAACTGTGTGATGCACTGAATGGCACTGCAGTGCGATTCGGCCTAGTGTGCTGCGATAAAATGCAGTATGTCTGTATATTACTGCAGTATGCTGTACCGCAGCGCTGGGCTGTGTTGCAGTGTGAATGGGACACATAGGAAACAATTGCTTCTTGTGTGTCCCTGCAGTGACAGGCATTTTACAAGGAGGTAAACTGTCTGTCGCCGCATATAGTGTGAATAGGCCCTTACATTCATGGCATGGCTTGAAAAACTGTCCCAGCATCTTGTGCTCTGGTGTCATAACTGATCACAAGTGCAGCTCCATGCCAACTGCAGATCAGACAGAGGCTAAGATGGCAGCTTCCTTGGCTGTAAAGGATAGCAAGGTTACGTTCTGCTTAAAGTGCATGTATAGCTAAAACATTTTTTTGTTTAGTTTTGGATAGAGTAGGGATAGGTAAAAACCCTTGTAGGGTAATTCTTGCTGTTTGTGTACCATAGAGAAATTTCCCTTTAGTTTCTGTCACAGAAATGCAACAGAAAGTTGGGGAAAATTTTCCAAAATGAGGGAGTTTCCCTCATAGACGCTTGTCTTCGGAAAAGGAGTCTCCATATAACGATTTCCCCTTTTACTCTGGAGACAGCTATAACATTTTGGATTTTCCATCACTTTATTTATAGGTGATGATGGTCACCAATTCTAAAAGAGGGGTGAATCTCCTCAATATTTAACCTTTCTTGCTCACCATTTCCAAGTATTAAAGTAGAACTATAGGCAAAGCTTCTTTTTTTCATTTTGGATAGAGTAAGGGAGGGTTTAACCCCAAAAAAAGGAAATGAGAGGAAATCCCTGCAAATTAAGGGAATTCCTACAGAACTAGTGTCTCCACTAGAAAATTTCCCCTCTGTTGCATTTCTGGGGACAACCCAAAATTTGGAGTATTCTTTTACTTTCACTTTTGATGATAATGGTAAACAGGACAAATAGAGATAGTGAATCTCCCTAATGGGGGCACAGACATAAATCTAATAGGTGTTCTAATTCTTCTCCACTTTGTCCAAAACTAAAAAAAACTTTTGCCTTTATTTATACTTCAAGAGTGATAAGCTGATCATATTTAGAAGGAGTGTAAAGGGGAAGCTGCCCCACCTACCTGCTCTTTATAGGTGGGGCAGTTGCCAAATGTTCACAGCCACGTGAACATTTGGAGTCTCTTCAGGGAAATGGGAATGTACAGTTTCAAATACTAATGGCTATCGGCCTGTCAGTAGGTAGGGTATCCCTTATGGTATGTGACATTAATTGCAGTTACAGATCAGTTTGTGAAAATGAAACCTGTAATATTCTCCAAGATCTGCTGGGTAATATATCTACCTGTTGAACTTTCAAGTCCAAGAATCTGTTTGTTAAGACTTCATGATTGCATGAACAAAAATAACTAGCAGCTGTGTAGGGTGATAGTTTGTCTAGTTGTATCTTAATTAAATTACTTGTTTAGTTGTTGTTAGAAAATGTTGTTGTTCCGGCAAATCAGAAGGTTCTAGGGAAGTCCATAAATTCAAGAGAGTGATTGGATGGTCTAACATGATCTGGCCAACATCAGGTAACAGGACAGCCACATAGACCTGCAAGTACAGCTCAACAAAGCTTAGAGTTTGAAGATGGGATGGGGTGGAAACAGGAGCTGGCCTCAGCTAATCTCTCTAGTCTACAACTCTCCACAATAGAAGATAACTGTCTGACATGGAGGACACCCATCACCACTGGAAAATCTGGCAACTGTTGTGTCATATTTATAAGTCTGTTTGGACTGTAAGCTTGTAAGGGTTGGGTGCCATTTTTCGAACATCTCTTGTTTATGTGCATTTTTTTCATGAAGATTTGGTTTTATAAATAAGAAATATTAATGATTTATTTTACTTGAAGGAGAACATTGACACAATCCCAGCACCCTACAGAATTTACAGCCCACCCATTTCTCAGCTTTCCTTAGCCATGGTGTCCTCCTTTCCTTTTGTAGTCTGCAGGAAGTCTGTATTATTTACTACGTTAACTATGAAAACTCCATGTTTATATTTTCTAAATGGCTGATATCATTGCTAAAATATTGTCTCAGGAAATGTCCACTTTCCATTTCCTTCCTTAACATTCTTTGTAGTAAAACTAATGTTGGAATAGAAACTGGTTTAAGGAAAAAAATCAACTGGCAAAAGTTACAGTACAAATAAAGGCTACTGTATGAGAGTCTAAACAAGTACCATATCCGATTACTGTGTGTTTTATAAAGCCTCATGGAGTAAGCAAAAAAATTTCCTTTAGAAAAAAACAAAAAAATCCCAGCACGCTTTCCAGCTAGCCTGCAGAAAAACCCTGTCTAATAATTCACATTAAAAACAGAGGGTTTAGTTGCACACATTTGCAAATATATGTGAAGCTGCACTTCCCCGCCAAGGCAGCTCTATATTGTGCAGTCCTAAATCATTAATCTAATTAAGGGTAGGTTTGCCTGGAAGGAGCCTTCACTGAACCTTCACTGTCTGAGCAAATCCTCCTTGGTTTTTGTATTACATGCTCACCTTTCCACACGTGGGACTAGGTGTAACCAGGTGTTGAGTGAAAAGCACTACAGAATTGTGAATCGGTAGTGAAAATACTGATGGCCAAACCCCCTGTATCATCTTCTCATCTCACTGTACAGTAAGCAGGCACAGCCTTCATGGGTGTGGCAACTCTGTTCTGATAAGGAGCACCGCAGCAGCTTTGCCACACCATTGGAAGCTGGATGGTTTGGAAAGGTGGACTCTGGCATCCCAAAACATGCTAAGCAGCTTTATTGAAAATCAGTATCCTCAGATTTAACTGATTGCTGTTAAAATATTCGATTGATTGGTATGGGTTCCATACTGGACATATCTAAACACTCACTTGGGAAGGTGGGAGGAAGACGTAACATCTGTAGAACAAACCTATGCCTAAAATATTTCTACATTAATACTTGTCTCAAGGAAGCTACTACTTTGTGTTCTTAAATTTGCCAGCAATGTGACCAAATACCTATCTGCTAACCATGCGATCTCACCTAAAGAGTATGGATTAAAGTACATTCCAATTTTCCCGAGCACTATTTCTGTACTTTTATATGCTTTGTTTTTTTTTATTAACCACTTGCCCTCCAGATGATTTACCCCCCCTTCCTGACAGGCCATATTTTCCTATACAGCGCTGTGTTACTTTAACTGACAATTACGCGGTCATGAAACACTGCACCCAAATGAAATTTACGTCCTTTTTTCCCCACAAATAGAGCTTTCATTGGTGGTATTTGATCATCTGTGTGGTTTTTATTTTTTGTGCTATAAAAAGAAAGATCGAGAATTTGGAGAAAAAAAAAAACAATATTTTTGACTTTTTGCTATTAAACATGTTCAGTAAAAGATCAAATTTCATCCTAAATTTAGGCCAAAAATGTATTTTGCTACATGTGTTTGCTAAAAAAAATCCCAATACCTGTCAATTAATTGGTTTACATGAAAGTTCTAGCGTTTACAAATGGTGGTATATATACTGGGATGTTGTTTTTATTTTTAGTAGTAATGGCGGCGATCAGAGACTTATAGCGGGACTGCGGGGACTGCGGGACTGTGGCGGGCATTCTGACACTGGGGGGAACTGACTTGGTGTCACTGACATCCCCAGTGACACCAATACAGTGATCAGTGCTAATAAAAAAGCATTGACACTGTACTAATGGCACTGGGCAGGAAGAGGTTAACATCTGGGGCAATCAAAGGGTTAACTGTGTGCTGTTTTACATACTTTGCTGTGTTTGTGCTTCATTGTAAGCACACTGCTTTGCATGGCTTTGGTATGCACAGCCATGCAAAGCAGTGTGCAGGAGCTGACAGGGGAGAGAACTGTTTTGTTTACAAACAGTCCTCCCCCCCCCCATTGGAGATGCTCGGCAATCACCGGGCGACGGCAAGTAATCACCTTCCGGGACCTGGTGATTGACAGCCGAGGCCACGAATGGTGGCACAGGTAGGGCATACGCGCCCCCTACCAGAAATGCAAAATCCTATATAGAGCATATATATATATATATATATATATATATATATATATATATATATATATATACACATGATTTTGTGCACCCGTGCACCCGTGCCGCCCTGTAGCAGTACGTCTGCTATAGGGCGGATGTGTAGCGGTTAATGGAAATTAATTTTTTCATAGTCATTTTCTTTTGAATGGATACCCAGTAACTGGGATTTTTTTTGGCAATGTGAACATTTATGTTTTCCAGTACAGTATTTCTCTGATTATTCTATTTTTTTTTTTATTGAAAATGATTTATGCACAACGTCTGTAAGGCTGCCTTTGATGACAACACCACTGTGATAATCTTTATACAATCCAAATATTCAAATTGCTCCATGACCCACTGTGATGGAAATAAGTATGAGATCATGCACTCTCCATTGGCCGCTGTATAATGCTAACAGAGGTGGAATTCTCCAGCTTTTATGGTGGAAAAATAGCACAGCATACAAGCTGTGCCTTACTCTGTTCTCAAGACAATAAGATTAACTCATTCATAAGGAACTCTTTTAGCAGAAACAGTGTGTTAACAATCAAATATTTACTAAATGCAGTTAAACTAGGCAGTCAGACAATGTACTCTTCCTTTGTAGTGAATTTACAATTGCAAGGCAAGGGTTTAGAAAGGAACTGCGGTCTACGTATAGCTGACCTCCAGGCAAACCTCTAAAAATATATTTAAAATATATATAAAGTATGTAAAGGTATACCTGGATATCTTCTAATCATCCAATCATGTGCAAGCAAAAATGCTTGCATGTGATTGATTATTCTTTGCAAAGTGAAGCTTTGCATCATTTACTAACCTCTGGAGCAACTGCACTTGCGAAGTGCACAGGCTATTTGCCTTTGATAAATCAACTCCATGGTGTTGAGCTTAGGTAGCATTGCTAGCTCTGTAGTCTGATGAGTGGGAGGAATATATACTAGGTGAGCTAACAGGAGAGATTGCTCAGGCTGGGATTTAACATCAATATGGTGGTCGTATGTACTCTCCAGCTCCTCTGGATATGCACAGCCAAAAGGGAAGCCAAGGGTACCAGGACAGCGACAACCAAAGGAAATGCTTCAGGGGTGCAGCCCTCCTCAGACGGGGAAATCAGCCACTGGATAGAGAGAAAACAGGTGGCGCACACACCTAGTGCATTATCCAAGGTTTATTGTAGGAGTGAAAGAATAATAAAAACATACTCACAGACGAAGCATGTATCTAAAAAGCATAGTAAAATGACAATGGCCACAACGCAGGCAAGGTGTTCTCACTGTCAGTGTCAGAATGGAAAGTAAGAGCCTTGCTGTTGATGCCACCAACAGTAAGGCTCTTATTTCCATTCATCATACATCAGCATCAGAGGTTGGTCATCAGCTCTGAAAAAAGGGATTTGTCCCCGAAACGCGTCAGCCATTTGACCACACTGACAGTGAGAACACCTTGCCTGCCGTTGTGGCCATTGTCATTTTTCTATGCTTTTTAGATACATGCTTCGTCTGTGAGTATGTTTTTATTATTCTTTCACTCCTACAATAAACCTTGGATAATGCACTAGGTGTGTGCGCCACCTGTTTTCTCTCTATCAATATGGTGGTGTGCTAGCAGATTAGAGAGCAGGTAGGAGGTGGGGCTGAGACTTGATAAAGCGCATGTGCGCAAAATACGTTGTCACGGTTACCAGCTCGGCTTGTGTTCCAACTCCAGGATCCAGCTTCTGCCCTCTTTGAGGTCACGGCGACGTCACTTCCGATCCCCGGCATGTCCAGCCGCTCACTACAATGGAGTTCTCTCCAGGCTGTGTTCCCTGAGGAGTGGACGGTTCTACTGCTTTGTCCTGGCTACCATACTCTTTGATGTTACTTATCATGACATATTACTCCAAATAAAGATATTCCTCCTTGGGAGGTAAACATTATTTATCATATCCTCATAGCGCTGTTTTTCATGGACCCAAAGTATGCAGACTTGCAAGCTCTAAAAAGTTTTATTGCTCCTATACTGTGCAAAGCGTATCACAATCGGGTGGCTTGCAATACAATGGGGTTCATTTATGGGCTCCTGCAGGGGCGGACTGACCATTTAGGCACTTGGGCACTGCCCGAGGGCCCGGGGTCAGTAGGGGGCCCCATGAGATGCCCCTGGTACCTTTCATAGGCTTTTTTGGGTGTGGTTTGAGTGTGGGCGAGGACACAGGGGCCCCATGATTTCCTGTTGCCCAGGGGCCCCATGAGTTGGCAGTTCTCCCCAGGCTCCCGTTGCTGTCTCAGCCAATGAGGAGAAAGAAAATGTCGCTGAGTTGGAGGGGGCTCAGGTAAGGATGGGGGGGCGCTGCACATAGGTTTTTTTACCTTCATGCATAGAATGCATAAAGGTAAAAAACATTATGTCTTTACAACCACTTTAATAAACGGAGGGAAGCTCTGCTGACTTCCACCAGCCAATCACGTGAAAGCAAAAATGCTGTTTTTTTTATTATTTTCCTTGAATGTGATTGTGTACTCTTTGTAAACAGAAGCTTTGCCTCATTTACTAAGCTCTGGAGCAACTGCTGTTGCAGAGTGCAACTGCACTTGCAAAATGCACAGCCTATTTGCTTTTAGCAAATCAACTCCTATACCTCACCAATAATTTTGCAGGTAAAACTATTTCTATATATTCCATTTTAGCTGTATATTTATTTGGCTTCCGTCTCCCTTTCAACTTAATATAAACAATAAGACCCTGTCATTTTCATTATCCTTTAAACAGAATGGAAAATAAACCTTTTCACTATGAACCTTCTTCTATTTGTACATTACTACGACGTTATAACATCATTTAATAACAGGATGTAAAAACCAATCCTTGTTATATATAAAAATAAATCCTCGGCTGAAATAAAAATTGCTTCTTTATATTTTATTAAACCTCAAAGGACAAGAGGTGTCATGCCTTAGCTCCCTTGCTTTGAAATGTATTCGCTCTGCCTCTGGAGACTTCATATTGAAACATTAACAATATTATTATTTCAGCGGCAGTAAAACTGTACATCATCACACGGAGAAGATAGAAAGGGAAAAATTACATTATTCATTCAGAATAATTTCCTACTAGAAAATAAATGTTACGGCGGATAAGGTTTTGAAATGGATACCGATTCCCTGAATTCTTTCCTGTCTGTTTCAGGAAATAGTGAGATCTTATTGATAATAAAGTACAATGTAGCTAAAGTTCACTTGCAAACATGGATCTCTGCTCTCAAAGTCATCTGCATTCTCTTTGTAATCCCTGACCGCCAGGGATCTCACATATCTATGAGATCTGATACGGTATCTTTTGGAAATATCCTTGATAATAATTTAGCTATTCAGATTGGTGAAAAAGCCGGAACATTTTTCCCCTCTTTTTTTCCCATTTTATAGTTCTGGGAAGAGAATGCTGGGAAATTAGGTCAAGGCTAACTGGTTAGGACTTCAAAATATTAATCGTATTCAGTACATAGTTAAACCAGAACTTCAGACAGATATAAAAGACACAGATTAATGTAGCTCTGTATTCATTAATACATCATGGAATGTATTTTTTTTAAAATTCCAGAAGTGTTAGTGCCTGAATTTGACTTGGTATTAGCCTCTTCTACAGCAAAGCTCAGATCAGGAGAAAAAGAAGCAGTGCAAGGAACCCATTAGTTGTGCTAACAAGGAATATGCTGATAGGAGGAGAGAGCAGAGTGAAAGAAGGATGAACCTATCAGTCTGCTGCTTCTCCTTTCGCTGTCCAGTCATAGGCTGGGGGAGGGACAAGACCTATAAGTGTTACTGCCTCAAAGAAAAATCGAATCTCCTGCCCTGCCAGACAGGGATGTGCTAGAAGATGGAAAAACTGTGCAAATACAATATTGCTTTCTCATATACCGTATGTATTTCATCTTTAGGTCTAGCTGTTGGCCTACAGTTCAGCTTTGAAATCTGCTTCCATATTATGTTAAATGGCAATTCCAGTTCAGTTCAGCTCCCTGACCTAATGTAACCTACCACCCCATCTCCTTCCCCCCTTCCCAGAAGCTTACTAACTACCCCGTAAGAGGTGCCCCTGGAATCTCCTCCTGTATTGGCCTCCCCTCTGTAGTAACACCAATTAGACTTGCATGCCTCCCAAATGGCCCCCATTTGGGAAGGACTATCCCTCTTTCAGGACAAAGGCCCTCTATCTTAGTTTTTTTTAGCCTGATGTGTAGAACTATATTAAAAATGTACTATTTAACAAAAGTATTATACTGCAATCATCTTTTTTACCCAACTCCTAATTATTGCATTTGTCATCATGAAAAGCTGGTATAACGAAAAACTAGTGGTGAAGTCCAATTTATTTTTGTATATTAATTCTTCATGGTCCAGAAAATTGAGTGTGTAGCCTTTGCTTATGTACTTTGTGCAACATTGGGGTGGGATTTAGTAAAACTGGAGCACACAAAATCAAGTTCAGCTCTGCATAGAAACCAATTAGTTTCCAGGTTTTATTTTCAAAACTTAATTGAACAAGCTGAAGTTAGAAGCTGATTGGCTACCATGCACAGCTGCACCAGATTCTAAGTGCTCCAGTTTTAGTAAATCTCCCCTATTGTGTCCCTCTTTCTTCATCTCAGAAAGTTGTTAGGTATGAACTTGAATGGGACTGTACTCCAGCACGAGTAGGATAGAACAGGATGAGAGACTCTACAGTGAGAGCAACAGACTGGAGATCTTTCTGCTGGAGTCCATGAAAATATAGCTTTTGTCTGATAGGTGTAGGACTTGGACTAGTTTTCTAAAGCTCTATGGGACTTAATAGATCAACATGTTCTTACTAAGAACTGTAGTTGTAAACTGAAAGCCACCAGTTAGATTCAAACTTCCAGAGTTCTGACCTGTAGGCTCCTCCA